GTGATCGGAATGGAAAAATCTCGTTCTTGATCGAAGCCATTGTCGCTGACGGCGATGCGAGAATTCGCAACATCGAACGAAAGACTCAAACTGATTCGACCATCGAGAATACATCAATATAACCGCCACAACAAAGACTGCAACATTAAGGAATAATGAAAGGACATCCACACTGTGCGAAAGAAAAGGGTGGAAAGGTGAAGATAACGACGGATGGCTCCTCCGTTGGTGGTCTTATCTTACGCCATGATGCCTCTTGCGTTTTCATTAAAAGACCACCCGTTCCCTTGTTCTTGTTCCCGCTGCCGTCAACCCCCTCGTAAAAGGCATGCCACCCCTCGAAAAATAAAAGTCGCAACAAATGTCAGCTAAGACACTCGATTCCCTTGGCATTTTTCCGCGACTTTCTTGCCACAGACAGTGGTGCGATCGTCGCGCGAATTTCATTAAAATTTTATTACACAGCAAGAGAGGACAGAACGGAAACGTGACAAACGTTATTACTACGTGCTTAACATTTATTAATTATTAACTAATCAGTAAACTCTAAATCAACTAACTAAAATATAATCAGAATTATAACAATATTTTTATTAGTATTTATGGATACCAATAAAAATGTAAGTTTGTAATTATTTTAAATCAGTCGCTTCCATTCGCGCAACTTTATCTTCTTATTCTTCTCATTTAATTTATCTTGAATTATTTCATGTTAAATATTTTTAATAATTATGTCATAATATAATATTAATAATTATATTATAATAAACTTATACATATACGTAACAAATTGTAAATTCCGACATAGTTTTTCATACAGTATTCCGTTTTATTCTGGAAGGGAAAGGCTCTTACTTAAATTTAATTATAATTACTGTATCTTAAAAAATTTAAATGTTCTATATTTAAAACACAAATATGAAACGTGTATATCTGGAAAATACATTTATTGAGTACACACGAAAGTTCATACGTCTTTTACTCAAACATCGCGTCAGAAGAAGAATATCGCTTGCTGTTCTAATGCTGTAGACTATCGATAGTTAGTTGTTGCATGAGAGAGTGAGAAGGAGCCAACTCAAGGAACAACGAAGGGGGTAAGAGTAATCCCTATTGTTTCTCCTGTCCCATAAATCCTACTAGCGCTTCCTACGCCTCTCTAGAGCTCCGCTCGCGCTTTAACCATGTACAGAGCCATCCGCCCTTCGCCACTTTCTACCAACTCCTCGTCTCAGCAACATGCTCCGTAAATCTCTGACCAGCTGTGCTTTACGATACGCGGTTCTCGTAAAGATACAAGAAATCTTATTCGTCATTTGACTGACATCGTTGGAACTATTTAAAAATCAATCTTATTGACAATATCCTTTGATGAGCAAATCTTGTCGTTTCGAACATAGTAACATCGATTGATAACACTTATTATTTAGTATTAGTAGTTCCAAAGAGAAAACTAGTCTTATTTAAATGACGTAAATATTGTAGGTACCTCTAAATCTTCGTTAATTCTTACTTTTAATATTTTAATTAAGAAATTGAATAGTTTTTTATTCTAGACTATTAGTTGTAGTACTGATAATAATTTATGATAATATTGTGTGCGATTAACTCATATAATAATTATACTATAGCTACGTAATATTAACTTTACATACAGTTAATAATATACGTAATTTGATTTGTACATCGCGTAACCGTATTACATGAATTAATAATATCGTCATAAGTTTGTTAGGCGATCACAATTATTTTTAAGAAATTTCATTTTGAAACGTTTATACAATTTGTGAAGAAAGACAATTGGTCAATGATTTTACCACAGAAGAAAACATTAATCCTAGACATTTAGATTTCCTATTTACAGATATATGTCGTGAGATATTTGCCATTAATACGAAATAATTGTCAAAAGTATTCGATATTCGATATGTATACAATATTTTCTTCCATTCGTCACACTGAGATGAAGTTTCCTGAAAATATCTTTTATATATGTATTGCAAGACATTTCCACAACCGCGTTTACGATTTCTGAGGCTTTGACGGGGGTGCTTTGCACCTCTAACACGCCAAGGAGTTTACTATGAGGTCTTATATCAAATATAGGTTACTTCGATCGTCAGTAAGCCGCTTAATTTATGACAGCGACTTCAGTAAATAAGATGCTTTACTAAAACTGCATGTTTACCATACTCCTTATCCGTCAATATAATTCTGATTTGATTTCATTGTGAGAAAATATCACTATAAAGAAAAACCTATAAACCTGAATTTTAATGAGTTTTTCAATGATGTTGATCAATATAAACAAAATTAAGAAAGGTATATAAATTATAAATGCTAATAAACAGCACATAAATTAAATAAAATCAATATAGAAGTTCAAACTAACTATCCAATCTCTAATTCATTTAATTTTATTGAATTAAATTAAATTAAACTGTGCTATTTAATTTAATTAGATTAAATTGTAAATTATTTATTATTAAACTTTATATTGTTTAAACAAGAAGAATCTTATTACACCGTATATGTGAGAACACAACCAATAAAAACTAGAAACGGCCATAACGAAGCTGGGGATTTTTGATGCTTAATAATTCAATATGAATTTATATGTACAATGCATATACATACCTATCTATATTAGGGGCCGTCCATATATTACGTAAGCAAATTTTTAGCCATTTTTAATCCCCTCCCTCCCCCATATAAGCAAATGTCAAGATTTCTGAGACCCTGCTCCTATAATTACGTAAGATTTTTCTATATGCAATGTAATAAAAAAAACTAATTTGCTGATATTATTAATAATAATTCGTTTTGGCATACTATTTTTTGTTGTCAACGTAATAATACGATTTTTCAACATTATTAAAAGAATCGTACAATTGCATTGTAAAAATTGTGCCAAAACGAACTGTTATTAATAATATCAGCAAATTAAATATAATTTTTAGACTTATACATCGACCATGTGATTAAACTGAGAGTACAGACGACATAGTACTAATCTTTAACTATCAATATGCAAAACATATAATCTAAAATATATTGTGAGAGAATAAATATATAAATACAATATGTTAAAGTTTTGTCAACTTCCGCTCAATTAAATCACACTAACTTTACCATATATCTACGCTACTGCATCAGCAGCAGATTTGAAAAGCTTTTTGCAAATAGTGCTCGTCGTTTTTCATCAGCAGCAGACAAAAATTTTACGTAAAGATATATACGACCCCCTCCCCCTTCATGTAAGCATTTGTCAGAATTTGTCTGATTCCCCTCCCGCAATTATGCATACGTGATATATGAACAGCCCCTTAGGAAGTAAACTTAATTCCTGTCACTCGTTATTAGAGGATGCCGGCTTCAACGCGACGAGTCTCGTCGGTGAAGTCGCATATTTTTTATAGTTTAGATATTGCTGAAAATAATTCAGTCCTCACTGGTTAGATTTCTCGACACCAAAGAGATTTGCCAATCGATTGAAAATGAATCACAATAAGCTGTTTTTCTGATATATGAAGGTCGCTTGAAAAGTTTTGAGCCTCAACATGACGGTGGCATTACTCATCAAAATCATTCTGGTACTACAATCGTACATTAGGCGTCATTGATGCCTTCCGGATTGAAATTTATAGTTTTCTCCGATCGTACACATATCTATACACTGTTAAAAGAAAAGAAATTTGCTTCCATTACATGTAACAAATTTCTTTTTTTTAATAGTGTATATAGATATGATGTGTACAATCAAGGAAATGACGCCTACTCTGTACGTGCTTTGAAAGATACCTGTGAAAATTGTAGCCATTATGGACGCTCAGTTGTTGTTTGACAGTCTTTTGTGCCAGTCGATGTCAGTGATTTTGTAAAAATGGAAAAAATTGAATATACATTTCCAAGGCTCTGTTGGAGCAGTTTAAGCGAAACGAGTCAGATTTTTTGCGTCGATTAATAACTGTTGAAACTTGGATCTACTACTTCACTCCTGAGAAGGAACAGTCAAAACAGTGGATTACATCTATACACTGAAACAAAAGATTGGTTACTGCAGCAAATTAGATGGTAAAATATGGCATAGCATTTTGAATTGGCTGCAGTAGCCAATTTTTGGTTGAAGTAGCCAATTTTTGCTTGTGTTAGCCTATCCACAATGTTAGGATTTCAATAGGTTAACCCAACCAAAAATTGACTGCTGCAACCAATTAAAAATGCTATGCCATATTCGACCAATCTTTTTTTCAGTGTAGAAGCCTATTTTACAGAGCAAGACGCCAACTATTATTTGAATGGGTTAAGGAGATGGGAGCATCGCTGGGAAAAGTGTATCGACTTAAAAGGAGACTATGTTGAAAAATAAAATTGAATTTGATCGAAAAAATACTTGTTTCTATGTTAGGCTCAAAACTTTTCAAACGACCCTCGTATGCTTCTTCACTACTTCAAGAAAATCGCAGCTGAAACGCATCGCTCATTATCCGAAATGTACGGTGATGAAACTCCATCGGAAAAACATATAGAGTTTGGTTTGAACACTTTCAAAACAGTGATTTTGACGTGATAAAGAACGTCCCGAACAGCCGAAAAAATTTAAAGATGTCGAACTGCAAGAATTGCTTGATGAGAATCCAACTCAAACGCTTTTAGAGTTGTCGAAAGCGTTAAATGTTACTCCAATGGCCATATCAAAACGCTTGCATGCTATGGGAAAAATTTTGGAGAAAAAAAAACGGCAAGAATTAAGTTTACTATCTAATACCATGTTTGCAAACATTTTGAACTTTGCACTGATATTTTATCAGACTTAAAAACGCAGTTAAACTTATAGTGAAATAATATCACAATTTTGATACTCAAGAGGCATCTATTAAAGAACTCTTAATATGTTGGTAATCTGTAAATAAATTTATTTGTTTTTAAATTTTTTTTAATATATATTGTTTATTTTATTAAAGCTCTATTTCTCTAATCAAATGTTTTTTGCATTTCAGATCGAAGATGCTATGCTGATGTTCGACAAGCAAACTAACAGGCATAGAGGTAAGTACACTTTTCCTTTCGTTTCTTTCTTAACATGTCACATTATTACGAAAAAATCGTTGCAATTTTATTGCGTGCAAATGTGTCAGAAATACGTCTGAAACTATCCTATTTAACGAGTCAATAATGTCGCCATTCCGCCGGCGCGAAGGTAATTAACGAGCCCGAGTTGAAGCTATAATTAGTAATCACGGTAAATCGTAAGCCGCGGTAAATATGGGGGAAGATAAATAACATAAATTTCCGGATATATGCTGCCTACACAAATCGTGACGGCATTTTGCGAATTCATGGTACGCGGATCGATAGTCGCATAGAAGAACTTATTGCGAAGCATGAAGGAACGCGTGATTAGGAACAAAATAAAAAAGAGCATGTTAAAAAAATAAGCCTTATTGTGTTTGAAAACCTCAAAAGATTAAACGTTGCGCTAAAAGTTTCTTACATTTATGAAATGATTAATGATCGTAAATTTTGTTTTCCATTGCGATCTTGCAATTAATTTTTAAAATTGCATATGTATATATTATATATTTACTCCACATTTTTATATGAAAGACAAACGATCTGTTCAATTTAATGCAAAAAATTTGGCATAATGCTAATGAAATGCTTATGTAGTTATTACATATGTGTGCCAATAATAAATGGAAAACAAAAATCGTTCTCAGAAAGATTAATGTTTAATCAATCGTCAGATAAGTTTAATAATTTATTAATCTGCTAATGCCGATTCTCAACTGAAACCATCTTCGTGGTAGCGATAATGAATATCATAGAATTATAATTGCAATAACAATTCATTTTATCAATCAATTTATTCTTCAATCATTTTTTGACCTTTAAATTTTTCATTTTTTTCCATCTCCTTATTCACGCTCCTTCTTGTGAGAGAGTGAGAAAGAGCCAATTCATGGAACAATGAAGGTTCCATAAATCCAACTAGCGCACTCTTTACATTCTTACCAAAACTTAATGTAGAAGTGGAAGGTCATCAAGATTAAAAGCCTTCGATTTCAAATAAAATAGACGCGTCTAAGAAATTTTTACGCGGCACTTTGCTAACGCGGTAGGGGTGAGGAGATGGAAACGTTATTGAAATCGCGCGAGGAGCGTATGCCCAATTGAAAATCGACTGAGCAGGGAAGAAGGGTAAAGATCGAAAGGTCGCGATGAATGAAATATCGCGGCAACCGCGATAATATATAGGGCAGCTCGACTCTCAGCCGTTCTCCGCTGTCGAGAGCATAGCAGGCTTTGCGATCGGCACAAGTCTGGATCCATTCACGTCGCCGCTCCAATGGGGTCGATAATCGTCAGCGATCGTGGTACCCCACCTCGCAGATAATCGGGGTGAAGGGGGGTCTTTCTCTCTCTATCTTTTTTATCGATACCTACCACCTTCATAGCTGTCGTTTCTAGAGCGGAGGCGAGCGTCTGGTCGGGCTCCGATGATAGATTCTAATATCGCTTATGAAAAATAGGGGCAAATGGGATATGAGAGCTGGCGCCCTTCAGTACGGGGGTTCTTCCTATCCCGACCGTGGTGCTGAAGAGGACCGAAGGGGAGAGGGGGAACACTGAAGGTGCGTCGCGCATCGCGCGAACGCCGAGGAAGTAGGAGTAACTGAAATAGCGAGGCGCGAATCGACACTGGTGGATGAAGAGTGAAGGAAGAAGGGTGAATGGAAGTGGAAGTGAGATAGGGGACTCTTTCAAAGCCGCACGTAATCTCTCTCGTGATGACATCCATACCATCCTCGTACGACGAGAGTCTGCGAACCTCAAACCTCGAACTGCTACTGCTTCTATTGCTGTTGCTGCTGCTACTCGTCGGTAGATTTCGCGGTACTTCCCGCACCCAGTCCCTGACCCCTTAAGGGGATCATTCTCAGATTCTTCGATAGACATACCGTGAGAAATTTTAAACGAAATACGCGCGACGAGGATATTTATCCTCGTCGCACTTGATATTTTTGATCAGCCAGTCTTACACTCGTGAGCGAGAACTCATATATACATAAATCTTTATGCTTAACAAAACGTTCTAAAGATACTTTACTTAATACTTCGACCATCTTTCAAAAATCGTAAATTTTTATCAACAACGTATTTATGTAATCTTACGATTTGAATAATTATACAAAAATCGTTTTTTAATAATGTTCCTACGATTTTTTGTTTCTGAGTTACTCGCGGATTAAAGTAAAAAGGGGATCACTTGACCCCCTTTTCCATTTGAAATTTTTTAAAGATTAACAACCCCTCGCTTAGGGGGTTGAAATTGAGCGTATAAGAATTATACGTCAAAAGATGTCCCCCTCCCAACATAAATCGATCTGTTTTTACGTTTTTTTGAAAAATCATTTTCGCAAGAGTTATTCAGTCTATTTTGTTTTCGATAGGCCATCCTATATAATATAATTTTCGTATAACATTTATTTTTATACGGAAGAAAGGTAAATTTTCAATTTCAGTCATTTTAGAAACGCGATACCTGATACATCTTTAAAGAGTATATAGATATAATTATAGGGTATATAGATATAATATAAGAGTATATGGATATAATTTTATAATATTCGAATTTTTTTACTTTCCAAATCTAATTTTAAAAAACTTATTGACGAGCTTATATTTAAACAATTTTATTAATCGAGTTATATAGTATAATGCATTTTTAGCAATACCAATAATCACCTTCTGCGAGACTTATCTAATTTTAAATTCATTTCTCCGTGATTGTAATATTTTCTTCAAGTACACTCGATTTCGATCTGCGTCCGATCAATCCGGCGCCTTTTCGAACGTCGCCATCGAATTACAAGGAGATCCTCAGACAATCTTCCGGGAGGTCTCTTTACGCTCAAATCCCCGAAGAGGCAGTCGGCTAGCGACCGTCTTACCCCTCTACCATCCATTCCTTTACTACGTTATGGAGGGAGAAAAGAGAACTCCGCCGAGAACAGCCCGGCAAGCGTTTCCGGACAATTTCGAGTCCCGATGGCTCCCGCAGCGAGCTATGATTTCCACGTGGATGGGCAGGCTGCGATTGCAGCAAAGCGAGCTTTCTCTCTCTCTCTCTCTCTCTCTCTCTC